AAACTGCTATAACTTTTGAATGAATGAACCGATTTTCAGGTGGTTGGCGGCAATCGATGTAGTTTTTTGAGCTCTATAAAAAAGTAGCTGTTTTGAGATTTTGGGCTCTTCGAGCTCAAAAGTCTTTATCTCAATTTATCAAAATTTGATAAAACACGATTTATTCAATTTTCAAACTGCTATAACTTTTGAATGAATGAACCGATTTTCAGGTGGTTGGCGGCAATCGATGTAGTTTTTTGAGCTCTATATAAAAAGTAGCTGTTTTGAGCTTTTGGGCTCTTCGAGCTCAAAAGTCTTATCTAAATTTGATAAAACACGATTTTTTTAATTTTTAAACTGCTATAACTTTTGAATGAATGAACCGATTTTCAGGTGGTTGGCGGCAATCGATGTAGTTTTTTGAGCTCTATATAAAAAGTAGCTGTTTTGAGCTTTTGGGCTCTTCGAGCTCAAAAGTCTTATCTAAATTTGATAAAACACGATTTTTTTAATTTTTAAACTGCTATAACTTTTGAATGAATGAACCGATTTTCAGGTGGTTGGCGGCAATCGATGTAGTTTTTTGAGCTCTATATAAAAAGTAGCTGTTTTGAGCTTTTGGGCTCTTCGAGCTCAAAAGTCTTATCTAAATTTGATAAAACATTTTTTTAAATTTTTTTAAACTGCTATAACTTTTGAATGAATGAACCGAATTTTCACGCGGTTGGCGGCAATCGACGCAGTTTCTGAAGCTCCATGAAAAAATTTTTCGAGTTTAAATCGATCGAGCCATGAATTTCGAAGTTATTACAAAAAAACACTTTTTTCGATTTTTTTCGACAACGATATCTCACGAACGCATCAACCGATTCTGACGTTTTTGGTGGCGATCCATGGGGGTTTTCAAGGTTAAGAGCTGATTATTAACATTAATAATAATTATTAATAACATTAATAATAAGAGCTGATTATTAACATTAATAATAATTATCTGGTCAAAAATTCCACGAAGTTGATTTTTTGAAAAACAAAACTCGGGTCAATTTTATGTAAATTAATTAATAATCGTTATTTCATCATTTTATAAAAATTCCTCAGAATTTATTTAATTACGTGGATATTAATTTTGGGAATTTATAATTAGCTAAATTGATTAATGAAGTTTTATGATAATATTTTAAATATTTAATAATTAAATCTACGAGTAAAAATTGCGACGAGCGTCCGTCGAACATTCCGGAATTTCTTTTGTTCTGAGTATTAAGCTCGCAGCCATTTTGGAAGATGTTTAGGCGTCGGTTAGACCGGAATTTTTAAGAAATAATTTTTATTAATCATGGAAAATTGTTTATAATTTCAATTGTTAGCTAATGACTGAATAGTTAGAGGAAAATTAATGTAGTTAAGTTTGAAAATAAATTCTGTGATATTGTTAAATAAAAGTAATGTAGAGTCAGTGTGTGTGTGTGTGTGTGTGTGTGTGAGCGGGATATGTGTGTGAAGACGCGCGGGTTATGTGTGTGGGAGATATTACCGCTCAAGAGGCACGTTGAGCACGCTTGAGTCCATCTGACTCCGGGGCGGGAAATCCTAGAAGCCGTTGTATAATCGCCAAGTGGGGTACAGCGGCAGTAAGATAGAAACTGCAGTATAGACGCTCCGTATGAGGGTACTGCGGGATTAAGATTTTTTGATAGTTATAAGGATTTACACATCGCCCTCACATACGATTAGTCTCTGTGTGAGGTGCTTTGCTGGCTACCTAGATTAAGTTGTATCAAATAAATCTGGTTAGCCGTTAGTGAGGCTAAGACATTAAGTCAATTCTGGTTAGCCGTTAGTGAGGCTGTGACGTGAAGTCAAACCTGGTCAGCCGTTAGTGAGGCTGTAGTCTGGAGAGGTTACCCTGGTTAAAAATATTGGTTGAAAAGGATTAAAAATGATAAAATTTGAATATTTTTGAATACTTTCAATTCTTTTTCATGTATATATAGATATACCGTTTACATGGGGTGACTGATTCCCAATATTTTTCAATCAATATTTTTAATCAGGGTAGTGTGTTGAATCGTGGAGTTGAGGTAGTTGAGTTGAGGCGTTTAGTTTAGTTGAGTTTACGACGTTTTCGGCTTGTTGATGAATTGCCGAGTCGGGGACTAGTAGCGGCTAGTGTTAAGTTAGTTGTAAGTGAGTAGAGTACGTGCAAGTGCACTAGTTGTTATTTTATTTTGTTAATAAATTTTTGGTACCGTTGTTAAATAAAGATTTATTTCTTACAGATCACCTTCCTCCACTCTCTCTCCCTCTAGATTATAAGCTCAGCTCTGGTTTCCGGTTCCAGGAACCGAGTTAAAAAATCCTGGTGGCGCCCTTGTTTAATTTAGAATCATTTTGTTTATTATATTGCTATTATTTAATTTAAATAAGGGGCCAATGAACGAGAAATAAACCACCCGTTACAATGTCGCCATTAAAAAAAAATCAAAAAATGCGCGCAATTTAATCTTGTATCAAATCTTGTATCAAAACAAATTTTATGCTAATAATTTACTGTAGTATTTATCAAAGACTATCAAAGACTATCATTTTTAATTATATTATTTTCCAAAAACTATTATTTATACTTACATAATTATTTTTAATAAACATAATTATTTAAATTATTGATAAAATATTAAATAAGTAAATTTTGTGACTATCGTTTCTTTAAACAAAAAAAAAGAGCCTTAATATTATTTTTTGAACCTTTCTGTAGAAAAGGAATCAGTGAATAACTGAAAAAAAATTAGCCGGTTAGTCGTTGGCTAATTAGCTGGGCTAATTAAGTTAACCGGTTAAATTAGCTAAGCCTATCGGTTAGCTAGCTAATTAATTTAGCTAACTTTTTTAGCCGGCTTGGCCGGTTAAAGTGTACAGCCCTATTATAAAGTCAAGTAAAAGTCAATTTAGTAGTGTCAGGGTTATATGTGTAAATTGGTATGGGTTATGTGTGAGCTGCAGAGTATCTAGGTCTGCGTTTAGTCACTGGGCTGTTACTGCTGTAGCTGGAGCGGGTTATGAGTGTGTGCTGCAGAACATCTAGGTCTACGTTTAGTCACTGGGCTTTTGTTCTGTAGCAACGTATGAATAAGCTGCAGGAGTATTTAGGTCTACGTTTAGTCACTGGGCTGTTACTCCTGTGAGCCGAGTCAACGACCCCTCGCACACTGCAGTCTTTGTGCGAGGCTGATGAGTACATTTCGGGTCAAGTTGTTGGTATAGTGTTAAGTTGAGTATACACTTAAAAACCTTTGCATAGACGCCCAGGTTGGGGGTGCAAAGGAATTAAGTTAGAAACCGCGGTATAGACGCTCCATAAGAGGGTACTGTCGGAAACTGGTCCGGTTCCAGGAACCGTGAAAATAAACCTGGTGGCGTCTTTAATTGATTAACTTTTATTGTTCATTTAAATTGTTTTAGTTTATTTATTAATTAATTTTGGGGCCAGTTGAACAGAGCTCATAAAACCTGTTACACTACTCAGTGGGAATTTTCGGTAACCGAAGAAATAATTCGGACAGCTCGGACCGGAAAACGAATTTGGATCTTTTGGTTACCCACCAAGAGTTCTCCAAGACTAGTACATTTGTTAAGTATTAAGAAAGAAAATTTAAAATTTCTGGCATGTGCGTTGATGAAAGTTATTAAATCAATTCTATAAAAAAACTAGCACTAGAAGCACGTTGAATATACTTGCGAATGGCTAGCACAAAATTTCAAGATACATTTTTTGGAGCAACTGTCTCTGGTTCTCTCATCTCTCAAGCCATACGCAAGTATATGCTGCAAGTTTCCGGTGTAAGAAACGTGCTGGGAAGCGACAAAGTAATATATACCGAGCATCTTGTACAGATCTTGAGCAATCCATGCGTAAGTGCCTGCTATAAAATATTCTTGTAAGAAATACATCAGAAGTATTTTGAATGTACCATGTTAAATATATCTTGAATATTCTTGCATACAATACCATATGTAAGATACATACGTAGAATGAAATGCTAGTAGGTATGGGTTTTTCACATGGCTCTGACCCAAGAATATTGCTCAAGCACATGTGTGATTGTTATGTTACCTGGGTTTATGAGTTTATCCTATAAAATTTATAATTAATATCATTGTTTACATATTGATATCTTTTGCAATACTTATGAGAGTTCAGAAAATTTGTTCGAAAAAATTAGCGTTAGGTCTTATGCTTATCATGTCACTATTTTATCGATAAGATTCAACTGTGAGAGGAATTTTGTTTTATTTTAGACACTATTTCAAGAAAAATTTTTTTTAGTCGTTTTTGATGAGCCTTTTTCAAAAAAGTATCGGGAGAAATTAAGTCAAATAAAAGTACACAGATTTGCTTATTTATTTTAATAAATACATTTTTTATTTATAAATTGAAGCGTTATTGTAGGAAAGCACTCTCAGATACGATTCAGAGTCAATCAATCATAAGAATTATTACTGGTGCACCTAACTTTATAGTTGAATTATTTATTATTTTAACAAAATCATTTTTAAATTTCATTTTATATCTATAAGTTGCTCTAATCTCGTACAATATTTTTCTAGGGTGCTTAATCATACATTCATAAATATCAAGGAATCTTTTGAATATCGCTTAGAACAATTGATATCCCATCGTTTAATAGTGAACTCATTATGGATTTCGCTTAAAAATCACCGTCTGGTTGAAGATCAAACCGAGGTGGAAAGGCAGATCCATCAATTTGAGGTTTCATAACAGACCTAAATGGCTAAACAAAAAAAATTAAGAATAATATAATGATTAATATGAATACATTAAATAATTTTTTTTATTAATAAAAATAAAAATATTAAATTAGAAATGTTCATAAAAAAAATATGGAGTGTATTCAAGGATTTTTGACTACTTAAATTTTGAATTAAGTTTTCTAATACATGTGTTCAAATCTAGCTCTTGAAAAATTCACAATTTCACTTAATTATCTCGAATCTTGTCTAAAAATTCTAAGAGTGCTTCATATACGTAAATGAATCATAAGTGGAAAAAGAAAATACGAATTAAAAAATTTTTATCAATGTAACTACTACAAAGATATGTTTTGTGTATACAGATGAAATGTAAACTTAAGAAAATGTTATGATTTTCATTGTGTGACCTCGTTCTAAGTATTAAATTGATGATAATGTATTGAAATTTGTGCTAAATAAAAAAAAAAAAGTAATTTATAAGATTATAATCTAATTTAACTGTCTTGAAATTCAAACTAAATGAATGATCGGAACGGAATAAAAACATAAATAGTAGTAGTTTTTCTTAAACTTAAATTATACTATGTAAAGTATATTATACACTAAAAAAAAAAAAAAAAATTAACTTGATTGAAGAGAAAAAATCTTAAACTAAGAAATTTATTTTGACGAGCATTACCGTATCAATTTAAGTCGAAAAATTCTTGAACTGAAAAATTTTTCTTGGTTCAAGAATTTTTTTCTTAAATCAAGTTAATTTTTTTTTTTTTTCAGTGTATGTATCCAAACAAATATAAAGTAAATAGTTTCGAAGGTAAAAATTTTTTAATTTAATCAATCAGTTATGAGTAAATTTCTGTAAAATTGTGGTTCTTATGTTGGCTAGTAAATTGTAATAAAAGTCAAAATATCACTTAAATAAACACGTTTATTTAGACGAAAATGCGTGTTCTGTGTGCCTTTTTATGAGGTATACATAATTTTTTAATTTATATGACACACGAACTTACATGAACCAAGGCAGCAGATTACTCCAAAGCCGTTGTAGGTTTACGACCTTTCTGGGGCTAAGGGTCATATCATATGGTTTAGTTGTTGTGCGGAAAGGTATCATAGTATTTACAAAACTTTTTAAAACTACCGTTCAAGAATTGATTTCATATTTCCAAGAGTCGGATAATTTTTTTATAAGCACTTGAGAATGGACTCTCTAAAGTATACTTTTAAATACGGATTATTTGGGTTATTGAGAAAATGAAATATTTCTACTTTTAAATGGGGAAAAAATTGAATATCCCTAATATAATATTAAATGCTATACTGTAATACTGTAATAAGAATTTTCTTCGATTGAAATTAGTAAAATACAATTAAGTAAAATACTTTGCAATCAATTTTTAACTTTGATACTTAGGTTTTGGATTGATCGGTCTGTATGTTGGGGAATTATAAAAAATAAATAGAAAAATTTTTTTCAAAAATTTCATTTTTAGAGTTTTTTAATATCTACCGAGCCAATTAAGATCGAATTCTCAGAAAATATCATTTAAGGAAAACTCATTTGGTTTTTGCAACTCCCGTGTCAAATGATTATTTTGATCGATAAGCAATCAACCGATCAAATTGTTCAAGAACATTTAATTACTCACATGCACACACCCACATATACCAAAAAAATATAATTCCAAAAATAGTCAAAATAGTTTTTTGAAACGTTAAGATCTAATGAAAAATCGACTTTTAATCCTTAGAGGCCGACAAAAATAATGTTCTAAATTAAAAGAAATTAGTGGGACATTTGAATATTCAATTTTTTAAATTATCTGATTCGACGTAGAGCTCTCTATTTACAATTATATAAATTTGAAGTATAATATTAAAGGGCACCAATGTAGTGAAATTTTGAAAAATAATTTTTTCTTTGCTAAATTTTTCGATAGTTTATACTTCTAAAAAGAATATACTAAACTTTAAAGTATGTATCTTGAATAGTTTTTGAGTTACAGCCTTTGAAATAAGCTTTTTATTAGTCAGTAGGGTATGTTACTTTTATCTTTAAACATGTTTTCCTAAAAACTAAATTTTCAAACATTTTTCAGCGAAAATTAGAACTTTTTATTTTTTAATTTTGATTTTTTTATTTGGGGAATTGAATCAGAAGTATGATCTAATTAGACATAATTTTTTTTTTATTTTGAATACCCTGAAGGCCGCAGCTACTACAGTAGTGGGGTAACTTTTTTTTATCAATAAGGGGATGCACAATCATTACGAGAATGTTGAAGATTTTTATGCGAAAATATTTGTTCGATTACTTGAAACATGTGTAAATATAGCCGGCAAATTAAAAAAAAAACCTTGTATTAATACTAATTAGTTTTCTTATCAAAAATTTCCGAAAATTACCTTTTTTTAAATGTTTATACTAGTGGGGTCCCTTAGTATTTAATAGTTAATATAACATTAAGATTATAAATTGGAATACTAAAATTACAAGTAAGAACATTTTTTTTTCATCTCAATAAATTTTTTTCAATTAATTTTTACTTTAAATTATGTTTTATATACTATAATCATGTTCAGTTAAAAAACAAGCTATTGATGATTAAATTTGTTGCTTTTAAAGTTTTTGATTTTTTTTTTAATTTAAGTTTGTTGATCAAAAAAACTGATCATGTTGTAGTACATTTCGGGAATTTATCAATGTTAGTATCTCTATAGTAGATTTCTCAATTTCGTTTTATGCACATCAATGCTCAAATTTATTGAATTTATTCTTCGGTTCAGTTTTCATTATTGTAACTTAAATTAGAATAAAATGATTGATTATTTCTTTAATTTATTCAGTATCTCAACATCGACATTTATGAATAATATTTTAGCGATAATATGTTATCCAAGAATGGTAGTTTTCAAGACGTCAATATTTTGTACTATTTAAAAAAAAATTTTTTTTTTAATTTGTTTCTTTAAGAAAAAAAAAAACTTATCAATCGAAAGTGAATTAGTTAATTATTTATAACTCTTACCGCTGGGCTTAAACCTCGGGCTGCACTTCCTCCACGTCCTTTAGTACGAAATTTGGTAATGGCTTGCTCAGCAAGGTCCGCTCGTTCTTCAGCTTCTTCTAACTCTTGTTGTGCTTTTCGGAATTTGGCGAGGTTAAGAGCTGCGATTTCTTCTGCTTCTTCTATTTGTCTTTTATATGTTTTAATCTTTTGTTGGAGCTTGTCAACTAGATCCTGCATGCGTTCGTGGTTCTTCCTATCTTCATCAGCCTGTAGATAAGTAAATTTATAATTGTATAGTATGTTACGTGAAAAATTCTTTTTAGATTAAATTGAAAAAAGGTATAGTTATTTATAGTAAAAATAGCACTGATAAATTAAAATTCTGTTTATATAACATTTTCACAGTTATATACCGCGAGAAACTTTGAATTTCAAAAACAAAATTTTCTTTTATTTTTTGCAACTGCGAAATACGGTAAAGTTATGTAGATACGTATACTGTACATTATTGTTATTTTCAGTATAGAAAGAATTAAATCCACTATGGAAATGTAAAAATACTATTTTAATTTTGATTACTTTTTTAATTTTTTAGTTAATTATTCAAAACTAACCGCGCAGTGTACTGTTGCCTAGTCACTATTTTCGAGTAGTTGGATCATGACAAAAAAATTGACGATCACCGAAAGTAGCTAACTTTTAACATTTTTCACTACATAACAAACACTGCAATGTTTTTCAATTTCAAATTTCCTAATCAAGCAAAACTTCCCACGTAATTTCATCAAAATTAAAAGGGGTCGATTTCAACCATTGGCCGATTCGATATAGAATAAACCATATAGATCATTTTAATTCTAAGTATTATTATGACGATACTTTAGTACTTGCAGTGATTGAAATAAGTATTTTCCAACCACTCATAGTAGTTAAATAGTATTTGTAAGTCAACACAATCATAATAATTAAGATTTTTATCAATACATCGTAAAATTTTTTGCCCTAATGGAATAAGTTAAAACTATAGCAAAGGTAATTTACCTGGAAGCTCAGTTCCTTGATGCGACGTTCAGCTTTACGCAAGTTCTTTTGCGCGTCAGCGTGTCTTCTTTGTTCTCCATCTAATTCGTTTTCTAATTCTCGTACTCGTTGTTCTAATTTTTGAATAGCCTTCTTACCACCCTTCAGAGCATTTGCTTCAGCTTCGTCGAGTCTTACTTGTAATTCTTTAATTTGAGCTTCTAATGCTTTACGTAGTTTTTCTTGTGTTTGTGCATGATCTTGTTCAGCTCTGAGCTCATCTGCCAGTCGAGCAGCGTCTACCATTGCCTTCTTAGCTTTTTCTTCGGAGTTCTTAGCTTCGTTAAGAAGTTCATCTAAGTCGGACTGTTAATAGAAAAAAAAAGTTAGTTTTCTGATTATGAGAGATTACAATTATTATCTTGAAGCTACACAAATGATCTGCCGTTTTTCTGGTCTTTCAATGAATTAAAAATTTTTATTCAAAACCAGATCATGTCAAAAATACCCTTTTTCTAATATATTAAGAAAAATGAACAATGTTATTACACTTAATTATTTAAAAGATATTCTGAGGAATTCTGAAATAGCACATCATAAAACTTATTAAAAATCAGCTCTACGAAACATATAAAAATTTTACAATTAATCAATCAAACAGTCTCGTCAAATTTTTAAAATTATACTTGTTTTGTATACATTATAATATTTATAGACTATTTTTACTTTATTGAACGAATGATTCCGTGGAAAATGCCATATTTGGAATCATACATTGTTCAATCATTCATAATACAATTATTAATTATTATGATGAAACAAAACTTGTAACTCTATAAGGTAAAATTTTATTATAACTCAAAATCTATTAGCCCGCAAAAGTCAATTTAAAAGTTGAAAAAGAAAATTTAACTTACGTGAAGCGTTTGGAGTTCAGCTTCTAGTTTCCTCTTGGCAGCAGAAATTGAAGCATTCTGGGCACTGAGATCATTAAGTTGTTCATGAGCATCGGCTAGCTCTTGCTCTGCTTGACGACGACCACGATCAGCTTGTTCTAAAAGCGTACGACTTTCTTCTAGTTCATTCTGAAGTGCATTAGCTCTCCGCTCTGAAATTCCAAGAAGTTCACGAGCTTCATCTCGGGCACGCTGTTCTTCTTCTAAAGCTGTTTGAACATCTTTTAGTTGCTGTTGGTATCGTTTTATATTTTTCTGTGCTTCGGCATTTGCTTTGTTGGCATGGTCTAAAGCAATTTCTAATTCATTTATATCAGCTTCAAGTTTCTTCTTCATTCGCAATGCTTCAGCCTTGCCCTGTAACGAAAAACCATAATATTGATGACAATTTTGTCTTATATTCAACTAATTATGAACATTTTTTGGTAGATTTCTTTAGAAATCTGCTTGTTGTAGAGAAACTCATATTAGAATTTACATAAAATTTTGTTATAATATGTTTTAACTATTACATACCTTAGCTTCTGCTTCGAGAGATGCTTGCATCGAATCCAAAGCACGCTGATGGTTCTTTCTTGTATTTTCAAACTCTTCCTCTTTTTCTTGAATGCGACGATCTATCTCTTGTCTTACTTGACTAAGCTCTAATTGGGAACGCAAAACTTTGTTTTCTTCTTGTTCCAAAGCAGCTTCTGCTTCTTCCAAAGCTGCTTGTAATTCATCTTTTTCGGCTTCTAACCGTTTTCTTGCTTTTTCAACTTCATGAATGTTTCGGCCTCCTTCACCAATTTGATCAAGTAAGTCTTTGACTTCATCAGCGAGATTTTTGTTTTCCCGACGAACAGCTTCTAATTGTTCTTGGCTCTCCTCATACGCACCTAATTGATTTTAATTAATAAGATTTTGCTATTCAATAAAACATGAAAAATACAGTTATGACAATTATATATATTTACCTTTAAGTCGGAATAGCTCTGTACTATAATTGCGACATTCTTTTTGACTAGCATCAAGTTCTGCTGCTAAGTCATCAACTTTAAGTTTCCATTCACCAATGATCTTGTCGAAAGCTTTTTGTTTTTTCTCAGCCGCATTGGCGATCGCAGTAGCACGATCAACTTCGATTTGTAGATCTTCAACTTCAGTAGCCAGACGCTGTTTGACTTTTTCTAGGGCAATAACCTTTTGGTTCAGAGATTCAATAGTTTCTTCAGCTTCAGCTAATCGAGCTTGAAGCTTTCGTTTAGCTTCCTCAAGCTCTTCAGCTCTTGCAACGCCTTCGGATTCATATTTGCTTCGCCAGAGTTGAGCCTCAGCATTAGCTTTACTTAACTGTCTTTGAAGATCAGCCTTTCCTTCTGCTTCTTCTTCAACTTGCTCTCGGATATTATCCAAGTCATGTTCGAGATTACGGAATTTACCAAGCAAAGTAGCTCGTTCACGACTTTCTTCATCAGCAAGCCGTTTTGTATCTTCGAGTTGAGTTGTTAGTGATATTTTTATTTTAGACAATTGACTAACTTGTGATTCAGCTTCTTCAAGTTGCCTCAATAAATCACTATTTTCGATAGATAGTTTCTTCTTTGCGGCATCAAAGTCGTTAACAGTACGATTAAGTTCTTCTAATTTACCTTGCGCTTCATTCAATTGGTGTTGTAATTGTTTCGCGATTTTTTCTTGAGCAGCCTAAAAATGAATCGTCACGAGATATTTATTTCGATATTTAAGGATTTATGTTATGGTTATATTTTGATAATTTTTATCAATCAATTTTAATAAAACCAATCAAATTAATGAAAAAAAAAAAAAAAAATAAGTTGTATGAAAAATATTAAATAAAGCTCACTCACGATCATTTATTAAATTATTAGTATCATTGCAGCATGCTTAGTAATTATCACGCTATTATAGAAACAGGCACTCTTATTAAGGGAAAAAATAAATAAAGTTGAAGTTTTCAAATTGAAGATTATCAGTGTGAACATAAAAATATATTAAGGTAATATACATAATATTAAATGCGAGTTGTATATTAGTATTAATATAACATTGCGATAAAAAAATTTCAAATTCAATAATGATTATATTGGAGAAAAAATACAACCTGTGAACAGTAAATTGCATTTAAAATTGATAAATCTTGACATTTTACGAACTTTTCGGTTTTCGATATATGTAAATACCTGAGAAAAACTTTTTTACATCTACGTTCATCTGACTCACTATTTTCTAGATCTCCTTAGATTTAAAAATATCTACTTAGATGTACGTTAATCTATGTGCATTTCATTTTTTTTATAACCAGTAAAAATTTCTTACATCTACATACATCTAAAACTATACATGTGCTTTACAGGCTAGATCTCTATGTATCTATTATTATTATTACATCGTTTTTGTTTGTATACCTATTTGGTTTTTACAAGACTGTAACCCATTTTCTCTACTTTTTTTTTGCTATTACTACAGTAATTCTACTTTCAACATATTCTTTCCATTTTTTTTTACTATCCACTGGCGACTGTGGACCGACTTGTGCTTTCTATACTGCATTCACCCTATTCTTCACCTCTTTCTATAAGCTGTTGGAATAGTGACATGGGGAAACTACAGAAAAAACCCATGCCCTAAAAACTACAGAACAACCCCCGGCGATTGGTGTTGAAACTATTTTAACAACCATCGGTTCGATCCCGGCACGCACCACTATTTCAGTGATTATAAATAAAAATATGTGCGTTACATTGCCAGCCTCTGGAAGTGGCAGAGATAGCCGGGCGGCACACGTCTGACTTGGGCGATCACTCAGTTAAGCTACAACTTAACTGGGTGACCACTCTAGTCAGCGTTGGCTAGCACAAGGGATCTCTGCACACTAGGAGAAGGGCCTAATGCTCCAGTGGTCGATAAAGAAGAGTTCTTTATCAATCACTGTAGACTTAGCCCAGCTCCGACTGTACTATCATGGGTTTTCTCTGTGGTTTCCCCATGATTCTGTTCCAACAGCCTGAGAAGGTGAGGTTCAAGGTGAATACGGTACAGAAAGCACAAGTCGGGCCACAGCCGCAAAATAAAAAGCAAAATGTAACTCTATGTAGTGTGCAAATTGCAAATATCCTGTAAAGGACATGCAATGAAATGAAATAATATAATAAAATAAAATAATATATACAAATAACCCGGTAAATTAACAAAAGTTTTAAATTTCTAGAGCTTATAAAGTACAAGAATAGATTTGATTGTAAGTTTTTGTTACTATAAAAGTAAGCAAACACGATACAACAAATAAAACTTATACCATGATTAAATCTGTAAAAAATAAATATTTTGTGAAGTATCTCAATAAGCGTCTTAAACTGCCGATTACTTATAACTAAAAATAAGCAAAAAAAGAAATTAAATTTCAACGCTTGTCATAAAGCTTTAAATGATGAAATTTGATTTACTTGAAAGAAGCATTTATTATTAATCTTTTGCTTAATGAAAACTTTGATTTTGCTGCGATATGCGAAAGAGAAAATTTACCTTTTCATTACTTATGTGATCGACTGATGCGCGAAGATCATTCAGTTCTGTAAAGTACTGAACTTTTTCTTTTTCGGTCCTATTAAATGTAAGAACACAAAACATCAAGTGGTAGTCAATGAGTAAACAATGAGATGCATTTATAGAAAAATTAAATATTATTGAGTATGCAGGTGAAATAATGTTAGGTACATAGTCAAATTCCAGGGATATTTTCAATTGATTGCACTAACGTTCAATACACCAGAAGAGTGCAATTTTATTATACCTTTTCTCTTGCAACTTGATCAATTGCTGCACGAGCACTATTCAATTCCGCATGGATGTCATGTCGACCTTTTTCTGCTCTAATGCATGAAAAATGTATTCAAGTTAAAAGAAAATCTAATAATTCAATCTTACTAATTCCGAGTACCATGAATAACTATACTAATCTACCTTCAGTAATAACTTATTTATCTTTCATAAAATATTTAATAGAAATTACAAAAGTGATTTTTAACTTTCCGTTATGAAAATGATTAATTTTCAAAAGTAAGAAGTTAGTGATTTCGGTTCGATTTTTGAAAATTTAGTTCTCATCAGATCTCGACGTTACGTATAAGAAGCTACTGTGGCTAGTTTGGCGATTATGTCCGTATGCGCGCGCGCGTGTGTGTGTGTGTGTGTGTGTGTGTGTGTGTGTGTGTGTGTGTGTGTGTGTGTGTGTGTGTGTGTGCAAACATCTCATAACTTTTTTACGGAGTGTCCGTTAGAAAAGCGGTTCGCGGCATCTCAAAGGGCCTTGCTGAACTTACCGTTCTTGTGAATTTCGACCGAATCGGCACGGCAGATTTTGAAAAAAACCTCACAAATTCGACTTTTCCTAATTTTTAAAAAATTATTTTTTTGGAATTATTTCAAAATCCTTGTTTTGAGCAATTCTATGACCTAATTATCTCTTTTACTCAAAAAACAACATCTATTGCTGCAAACCGCATCAAAGTCGATTGATTTGTTCGAGATATATCTAAATTTAAAAAATCAAAAAAACATGGTTTTTTAACATAATTTTTCAATTCTTTCTCTGATTCTATTTCTATCTGAGAATTTTGGTAAAGCTCCCTTAACTACGCTAAGTCCGAAAGTTAATGCAGCTTAAATATTTTGGAAAATGTGTTTTACTAAACACAAACTAGACTTTTGAGCTCGAAGAGCTCAAAAACGTCGTAGAAGGTGGAATTTGAAGCGCTTTGTATTTGAAATTATCGAGAAGTTGTTGGGATAGCCTATAGAGTCAACTATTTTGCTGATTTTTTTATATTGAAAAACTAATAAATATCAATATCAGTACCTTGCTTTCAATTTGTTGAGAGTATCGATTTGCTCGCCCATCTCAGCAACAGCATCATTGTGCTTTTTGCGAAGACTAGCAAGAGATGATTCGTGTTGAATGTTAGCCTCTTCAAGATCCCTTCGAAGTTTACTAAGTTCTGCTTCTCTCTTTTTGTTAAGTTCTATTTGTGCGGATGTAGCACCACCAGCTTCTTCAAGGCGTTCACCCAATTCTTCAAGTTCACGTGCCAAATCACTTCTTTGTTTCTCTGCTTTGGCTCGGGCTTGTCGTTCTGCTTCAACTTCTTCTTCAAGTTCTTCAATACGTGCCTGCAATTCTTTGATTTGTTTCTGAAGTTTACCAACAAGAGATTGCTCGTCTTCAAGCTTCGCAGTCAGAGAAGACAGCTCTTTGTCTTTACGCTGAATAGTTTGTTCCAATTCCTTCTTATTGCGTTCGAGATCAGCTACGGCTTCTTGTGTTAATTTCAAATCACCTTCGGTTTTTCGTTTACCTTTCTCAACATCAGCGCTATAATCGAAAATATAAATGTATATCTTTAATAGGTAGATTTTTATTGCAGTGATTTTGAAATTATTGTTATAGGTTTCGTTGATATTTTTTCGATAGATAAAAAAAAACATTTTAGTAAGATTAACTGCTAGAATTGTAGTGTAAACACTTTAACCAAAAGTGAAAAAAGTTTTTGATAAAAAATAAATAGAATTTTTTTTTATTTTTGTTGGAAAAAATTGGGTGTCACGACAAAAGATCCGCAGAAAAAATATCCGTGATCATGTAAAGGAGAGAAAAATTAAAAAAAAAAATGATAACAGATTCTTGAAGATAATTTGTAGTAGTTTATGAAACCACCTTTTAATTTTTTATGTGATAATTAGTTGCTGAGATATTGATAGTCGTGTATTTTGTCTGCGGATATTTTGTTATGTTATCAAAAATTGAGAGTATACTTTTAAGTATGTTCAAGTGATTTATAACTTTTATAAGCATGATTGTATTTAAAGCTTTCGCCAAATCCATAAAAAATTTCAGAAGAATTTACTGCGAGTGGAGATAACAAATTCAATCAATTTCTTTATGTCGAATACTTAACTAATATACCTAACTATATTCATATGTAAATGTAAGTTATGTTATAAAATACTAATTACCGAAGTTTTTTTTCACGTTCTAAAGTATCTTCCAATTCATCGAGAGTGTGTTCAAGTTTTACTTTCACCTTGTTGAGGTGGTTAACTTTATCCTCAGCTGCTTGAAGTTCTTCGGCGGTTTTTTGATTGATTTCACTTTGATTCTTCTTTTCTTTATTGAGTTTGTTAATAAGCTCATCTTGGTGAGCTATCTCATCATTTAAATTTCTTATTTGATGATCTTTAGTAGCTTTATCTTGTTCAGATTTTTGAATGGCTAATTCGAGATCTTCAATATCTTTTTTTAATCCTGAAATTTCTTGGTCTAATTTCTTTTTATTTTGGAATAAGTTATTCCGTGTGTCTTCTTCCTGTTGAAGTCTTTCCGATACATCCTAAAAAATAAAAATTTAATTAGTAACAACGAGTTACTATTAAAAGTATGTAAGTATAAAATTAGAATTACTACATTTACATATTTTCTTTGGCAAGTAGAAAAATTTTTTAAAACGAATATTCGATGAAATTTATAATTATTATATGTATCTCAAGAGACATAGATCAATTGAAATAAGAACCTTTACTATATTTCTCATAGAAGTACAGCTAAAGTTAACGAGAGAATATGATTAGCTCATTAACGTTAAATAAGCCTGTACTATTTTCAGTAGATTTCATAGACCATACGGTTTCCTGTGTTATTAGAGGACTATATATAACCGTGGTTTCATTCGTCTAGTTAAAAATATTTAGAAAGGAAACTTTGGTACTATTCCAGTAGATATTTATAAAAGCTATCTATAATAAAATTTCTATAAATATGTCTGCGTGTGAATCATTGAGGAAAAATTTTGATATCTAAACGGTTTTTTTATACCTTTTTTTAAAGTATTTATAACATGTAATTAGTCATCTATTCTCGATAAAAATTTTGATACGGGATGAAGGTATTGTTAATTTATTTTATACTTTAGTACTCGAAAATAGTTTATGTTTTCATCTTAAAATTTTTATTTTGTGGAAAAAGATAGACCTAAAATTTAATTAATAATAAAATTTTTTTTTAGATATTGAATCTACATATATCTTCTCATTAATTTCTTTTTTTATAGATAAACTTTCAATATTAGTAGTGCTGCAATACTTTATAACTATTCTTAATCATTTTGGGACAGATAAACTTTATAAAATAATCGTCGAGCAAACTAATGCTATTTTGAGTCGTAGAATCATAATTTTAATAAAACATATGTATGATTAATTATTGGAATAATTAATTTTAAACTTTGTAGATAATTACATTATGACAATAAATTTTTATTTTGATATAATTTTCCGAATGAATTTTGACGTACGTAGCTATCAAATTTTATAGGTAGACTACATTTAATAAGATCTTAAGTTGATAGTATTAGTAAAGTAGACATTAAAAATCATAAAAAAGCACTATCAAAGCTTAAAAAGTGATATAGTAAATTTAGTACATCAAGATAACAAATTTTATCATTATTTATTTTTTTAATCTCCTAGAATGTATACTTCCAAAATAACAATTTTTACTATTTGACTGTACATAATTTCATACGTTATGTTACCCACTATCTTTTTTCAATATACAAATTCAATTAAATTATATACGAAGAATAGTCGTTTATTGAATAATATTATTAAGGCATGAGATATTCTATCGAATAAGTAGAGTTGAGATATAACATGTTATACATAAACAATTATGAGAGAATTTCGGCAAAGGCAGAAGCGATTAACTACGGTCAAAAAACCATCAAAAATTACATAAGCAACTATGAAGTATCGAAACTAAATAGACTAGCGTTCCACATGTTTTTTTTTTTAAATGTTCCTAATAAATTTTAATTTATTTTTATTTTTCATAATAAAAATAACTTATCATGCGTAGAATTATGTATACAGATCAGACAAAAAAATCCTAATAGCATGATATAGACAAGTTTTAAATGTAATAATTGTTATTTTCTATAGCTATTGTTATACATTTTATGTTTTAATTTAAAATAATGTATCAAAGTATCTGTTCTTGGTATGTATCATTTAAAATAACAGTCTTAAATGTATGTCTATATTATTCCTTATATATATGGAGAGTATAGTTTAATAAAGATTACTTTCATTCTTTTTAATCTTACATTTCCTAAAATTTAGTTGATTTTGCTACAGATTTTGTAGTACCGTTTGAAAAATTAAAAATTAATGAAAATATGTGTATTTGATTAACTATAAGACTTTATTATTATATTAGAATTCAAAAAACATAATTTATAAACAGCATAATTTTATTTGATGTCCATGAGAAATGTAGAAATTCATAAAAGCTACGGATAAAAAAGTCTTTGATACATACCAATAGTTGTGATTCCAAGTCCATTTTCTGGGCTGCAAGTTTTATTGCTCTTTCCTGATATTCAGTCAAAGAACCTTTTTCACCATCGAGTTGTCGGAGAAGATCAGTTTTTTCGGTAAGGAGTTTAGCGTTAAGGACTTCAAGTTCTTTGCGCATCTTTTCTTCACGTTCGAAGTTTTCTTGAGCAGTACGAGCTCTTTCTTGTAATTCCTGAGGATTTGTATTAATTATAACTTTATTGTCGTTTATTTCAGGTTTAGAAATAGGAGAAATATTGTTATCGTTGAGATTCATTATATTATTTAATTTATTTAACAAATATTTTTGCAGCAAAACAAAAACAATAAAACAACAAGATTGACTTTTTTTTTAATTTGTTTTTTTCCGAGGTGATAGGAGAAATAATCTCATCCGTAACTTTGACTCAACTAAATTAATACTGCGCACTTCAAACCAAAACTATCATAGGTAGGTTACTTCCTTTTTTTCTTTCTTTACAGGCTGGTAGATTTATTACCCCACTACGAGTTTGTCGTTATGTTCTATGATATAATCTTATTTGAATATTAATAGATTGTAGGCAAACTACTTAAAACTAATTTTAGATTATTAAAATCGACTAAAATAACTTAAACTCGAAAGTACAAAATATCAGATATCATTACATAGCTTGAGATATGTTAATCAGTTCAATCGTTACATCAAATCTAAAAAATATTAAAAATTTACTATTTTACGTTCGGAGATAAAATAAAATACTATTCTCATAATGTACAATAATTTCTGTTAATATAAATAATTAATTGAAAATCATTTTAGTTATTAGTTTCACAATAAAGGTACCCATTTAATTATCTTAATTTTCCATTATTTTATGTTTTAATTAGATATTTAGAAAGAAATTAGTAATTTAAAAAATCAACGAGTGCAGTTTTTGAAACATTAAAAAATTTTATGACATAGTTGAACGATTTTTTACATTAGTCAAGATATAACTCAAAACATTTTGATCAAAGTATTAAATAGGGACATAACAGGTTAATAATATAAGGTTGTAAATTATTTAAATATTACAAAATTAACAAAAGTTAATCAATGGACCTGCAAAAAAATTTATATTTTAGAAATTTCAATTGAAGTTTTTTAAAAAAATAATTCAGAAAATTTAATTAATGAAATTTTCAAAAAATTGAAATTAAACTAAGCTTAACAAATAGATAAAGAGAGAGGGCAAATAATTTATTTTAGAATAACCATATATATGATCGGTGATCAAATATGTTTAGCCATAGCCAAATTTCACAGTAAAGCTCCTGAATACTCAACTAATGTAGCTACCCTCTACATTAAATTCTCTCCACTCGTACTATTGCCTTACTTTCCCGATTTTCTGAGTTTTTAATTCTAAACTTTTGGCTTTAACCATTCAATTATAATTGAATAATAATTCATAATTGTTAAGGAGCTTTCACAAAGATCAATAGTCATATCTGACCAGATATAATTAAATAAGAAAATAACCGGATCTAATCATATTTGGTCAAATATAAACTTTTCTTCGATATAAATACAATTTAAAGTCTAGCATAAAATCAAATAAAAGTTAACAATTTAATGTTATTTTATAATTTTTTTTTGAGTAAATAAGCACACTTTCACTGAAAATTGTAATAATAAATTCAATGCTTAAATGTAGAAATTATTACTTACCGCTAGTTCATCTTCAATTCGAGTCGCATTAAGCATAGGCTTAATTTTCTGCCACAATTTCCACCATGGCCATGTACGAAGTTTAAGATATCTTCGCAGATTACGCTGAACAACTTGAAGAGCCAGACGTTGTTCTTGTAATTTCTTGAAATCTTTACGGGCCAAATAACCACGCATGTAAGCTTGCATCCAGGAAACAATCTTACTAAGACGTTCATCACGCAATTCTTCCATTTGACCTAAGACTCCAGCACGGAAGAATACCTATAAAAATGTATTGTATACAAATTAAAAAAAAAAAGAATTGAACATCTGTTGTATACCCAACAATATAATAACAATAACAACAATGATAATAATAACCAGTTGAGTGACATTTAAACTACAACTCAGAGTAGAGTAAGGTTTTTTATTTTGAACTAAACTTTTTTTTATATAACATTTATAGTAGCATTATCGATTTAATTTTGTATTGTATACTATTTTATATTGTTGAGTACTTGAAATAAATTTATTAGACTCATCCAAAATCATAACACAATGAGTGACAAAATATGCATTAAAGCATTTTTTATTTTCAAACCTTTTTTATTATTAATAATAAAAACACTCAAAAACTTAATACTACATTATTCTCTTCTTATATATTATGGTTATTGACTGTGGTAAATTCATGATGGTATGTATTAAAAAAGTGTTATTACTTATAAATTTGAAATCATAAAGCAAGTTTATCATAATTAAGCTTGGAAAACATTATAATACAATTTGTGTTTGTTTGGCATTTTTTAAGCCAAGGTTATTTTATACCTTGGTAGCTCCAAAACGGAACTGATCTTGATCTAGTTCTATTGAATCTAAGATGAGTTCAGTGGCTTTTTTCGGATCCATTCCGTTTTTAACAGCTTTTGCACACAGAATTTTGTATCTATTTGAAAAGTAACACACACAAAAATAATAAATACATAAAATAATATATGTATATTAGCTGCATTGAATTATATACTAGTTGGAGATGGTGTATTTAGTCACTATAAAAAAATATCATTACGACAAAATAAATTCCCTAAAATTTTGTATGAAAATTCAGTAAATATGAGATGAAATGATAGAAAGATGAATTTATTAAAAAAATTTTTTTTCCAGTATAAAAATACGTTTTTAGTCATTAGTATGAAGGAATTTGTATAGAAGCAATATAAGAAAAAAAAATTCGAATCTGATTTCTTTTCTTTCACGTTTAACTCATCAATATAATGACATTGTGATATTTTATAGAATTTTAAAGAAAATTGAGAAGTTCATATTTATAAATAACGTATACTAACATTGAAGAACTGTATTATTTTGTGTATTATTAAATGAAAATGAAATTAATTTTAATGATGAATAAAAAAATGATAAATTCTCTACAGTTAGCAATGTAGTTATCAACAAACAATTTCTATTTAGCATCTACGATTAATATATTTGCTATAAGTATAGATTTTTTTTATTCTATATTAGATTTGTATGAACTACTATTTTTTAATAATATCAAAATGTAAAATTATCAGTAATTATTTTTATTTCACATTAAGTATAGAGAAGACATAAAAAGAGGAAAAATATAAAAATGATTTATAAGTTAATTTTATAAAAAAAGTCGATTGGGCTTTAAGGTTTTGAAGTCAAGCTAATTATAAAGCAATATTTGACTAATTGAAATTAAAGCGTAAAACTGTCAGAGTCGTATGTACGACATGCCTTCGTGTGTCCAAGACGATATTGATCGGCATCAAGTCCAGAAGCATCCAAGATCGCTGCAGCAGCCTTTTTTGGATCTCCAGCTACTTGGTCAACGGCTTGAGGGGCTAATATCTTGTACCTATAGCAAGATGTGACATGCAAGTTGATAGGGAATTTATTAGTTATCTTGATCACCACTGTTTCACAAGATACTCAATTTAAGCATAAAATATTTTCTACAATTTTTGTTAAGGTATAATGATGGACAATAATTAATTTTGCCTATACGAAGATGGAGGGATTCATCTTGGTGATACATAGTTTTAATAAAATATTAAATGAATGTTTATGTTTTTGATGATCTGTCACGAGAAATTAATGTAAATAGTCAGTAAATACTAAATGGGGGCGTGCTAAACATACACAAGTAAAAAAATGTCTATAGGTATATTATAGCATTCGGAATATAAACTTGGGAATATATTTTCATTTCAAAGACTTGATCAATCAAGGGAAACAATCATAATAACGGGTAAGCATTTATGGGCAATCGATTTTCATGACTAGCCTTTGTATGTCCGATTCTGTAGAGATCCGGATCAAGACCGCATGCATCAAAACATTTTTGTGCTGCTTTTTTTGGATCGGTTTCTTCAGTCATTGCCTGTGGTGCTAAGATCATGTAACTATGTGGAGAAAAACTTCCTATTAGATTTCAACCTTTCTTAATATAAATTAAGAAGCCTAAAAATTTTAATCGATGTTTTTATCAACTTATTTAGCGAATATTTATAATCATCTTACCCGTATTTTACAAGTAAAAAAATTTTTTTTAAAAACTTGTAACTGTTGCCGTAAATTTATCGAACTTAATTTATAAATAAAAAAGTTCTATCAGAATGTTATAGTGAAAATATTATGACTATATAATTAGAGTTTAAAATATAATTAATTATTTAAGAGAAATATAAACAAAAATAAATTTTCATAAGAAAAGTTAAGTTACATACCGAAGTTTGAAATCCGGATACATCATTCGATTTGGAAATCCTTTACGACAAATACGGATTCCTTCAAGTACACCGTTACAAGTCAACTGATGCATGACAAGATGCGAATCGATTACTCCTGCTTGTTTCATTTCATTAGGAATGATACACCGAACAAAATGAGGTTGAGTTGCTCTTAGAGTTGTCATCAAATTATTCAATTGTTCTTTGTAAGATGATGAGACAGTAGAAAATCCACCTCCTTTTTTACCACGACCACCCTTAGCATCTTTTCCTCCATCACCAGACTGACCTGGGTGATCAGCAAAGATTTCTACTAATAATTTATTGTTAGATTTTTTGAACTGATCAACCACAGTATCGTTCAAAGGATCCTTGTTCTTCTCTAACCACCCAGTAATATTGTATGGAACCTGAAAATTGATCGATATTCGTTAATTACAGTAAAAAAAATCACTTGATACATATTATATTTTATTGTCTCAGTTATTCTATTGCACATTTTTTGACTTCCCGAGAAAAAATGTTTCTATATAATCATATATAATTGTATATGATCATATATGATTATATATGGAATCACATATATAATTATATAGAATTATATATGGAATCACATATATAATTATATAGAATTATATATAATCATATATAATTATATATAATCATACATGATTATATATAGAATTGTATATTAGGTTATATATAATCATATATAATTATATATGACTATATATAGAGCAATGTACAGCCAAGCAAGATTATATATAATCATATATAGTTATATATAATCATACATGATTATATATGAAATTGTATATGAGGTTATTTATAATCATATATAATTATATATGACTATATATAGAGCAATATACAGCCAAGCAAGATTATATATAATTATATATAATCATACATGATTATATATGGAATTGTATATGAGGTCATATATAATCATATATAATTATATATGACTATATATGGAGCAATATACAGCTATGCAAGATTGTACATAGTCCCATATATAACAAATATAAATAATGCTGTGAAGCGGGAAAGAATAGGAGTTACGGATAATTATTACGTGAAGCGTTCCAACATTCACGTAACAGGATAATTGGTAGGAAAGGATTGAGAAAGGATTGTGGAGAGGATCATCTTAATGTGAGTGTATAGAATATGTGAGAAAAAATTATTAGATAGCTCGGACTGGGATTCGAACCCAGAATCTTCCGAAGACATGTCGGCTACTCTACCATTTGAGCTATCCAGTCTATACTAAATTTCCTTTCACTTATTCTATATACATTAAGCCACACCGTCCATCTTACGGTTAGCATTTTTAACAAATTATATATAACTAACATACATAAAAATTTTTTCTTTGAAAAAAAAATTTTTTTGGTAATCACAAAAAGTGTAAAATGATGTTTATAATTACGTTTAAATAATTCTGAAATATAAAATTTGTCACATTTCCTATGAGATGTTTTGTCTGCTCTGCTACTACGTAATAGTAAAATCATTATTTATTTTATTATTTAAATAAGTGTTATATTATAATGAAATTCGGTAAGATAAATAAATTATGAATTATGACTATCCAAATATATTATAAAATCAATTTTTATATTATATTTATGATAAACTCATATGATACATTAAGTAGATCATAGAATCATTATTGTCTAAGACAGCAGCACAGCAGACAGAAACTTTAAGACGCACGGAGATCACCAAAGTTAAGCAGCATTGAGTAGGGTTAATAGTTGGATGGGTGACCGCTGGTGTTATAGCCATAAAATTAGATCTAGATATTTTTTTTTGCATTTTGATCAGTTACACAGAATTGCGTAGGACCATATTAAATACTCTATCCATAAAATTAACCCAATAATTAATTAGATGTAATAAATCTATAATTAAATATTGTTATATATAATTATATTTAGTTATATATAATTATATATAATTAGATATGATTATATTTGGCCATTTTTCATATATAATAATATATAACCAATTTATATATAAATATATATAATTATATATAAATATTTTTTCTCGGGTTGCTATTATCATTTACCTAATTCAAGATATTTAGATTTTTCTTTACCGATGTATAATAAGAAGAATTTTTGAGCTCTAAGAGATTCAGAATTTCTATTTATTTAGAAATTAATTAATAAAGTTCACGTTTTTGAGAAATTAATTTTTAAACTTTTTTTTTTTAAACATTCAGACCTTCAAAAAATTTTTTAATTATTTTAATAGCAATAAGTTTTCACCTTTTTTTTCTTTTTTAACGAAAAATTAGTTTTTTAATTTAAATATATAATTAATAATGATGAAAAAATTTCTGATTTTTTTATCAAATAAAAATTGGTTTTATAAAAGTTATTTTTTTTTTTAATATAACGATCAATAGAGAATAAACTACTCATACATTTCCAGCGTAATGGCCAATAGCAAAATGAGCTGCTTGTTGTCCCGGCTTGGGTGGTTTTGGTTTTAGGAAGTTTCCACTTTTTCCCAAGTGATTGTTGTTGAGTTTTTCTTCAAATGTTTTATCCGTGGCTTTTGGGAACATAGATTCTTCTTCAAGAATTGATAAAATTCCCATAGGCTAAATAATTAAAACAAAGCACAGTCTTTAATTTAATCGAATGTCTTTTTATATTGCTTATTTAAGCGATCTTATATTTTAATATAATATTTCTGATATTTTAAACAAATCATAAAACTATTATGTTATGGAAATTGGATATGTAATCATGATTAGAAATCATGTTTATACACATTCTTGTTATTAAAGTACTTATATAAATTAAGAGATAAAAAATTTCTAAAATCTTTCGTTCATTTTCAAAATACTTTATCGAGCCGTAATTTTAGTGTAAAAGCGATCAAAAAAAAAAAAAAATTTGAAACCCCATCAACTCTGATAGATAGTCCTGAAACTTGTGGTTATTTTTAGGTTCTTTGAACTCGTAAATATTATTTTCAAGGTGCTTGCAAGTTTAAGAAAGATAACTTCAACGTCACTTTTTTTTCCACTGATAATTGAATTGAAATTTGAAAGATATGCCTGGAAAGATAAAAACATGCTTAAAAATTATATTATTCATAAAAATATTTTTAAACAAGATATTCGTTTTGAAAAGATATTTTTAAAATAAAATTTTATTTCTTCATGTATGCACAAGAAAGTCGTAAAGTGCAGAATTTCATTTTCCACCTCGTGTAAATTATTTACTTTCTTGATCTTGTTTTGTGTATTTAACATATATTGTGTAATATATCTGTTTTGATTATTTCTACAATTGTATATCTCGGAAAAAAAGTATCTCGAAAGTGAACTAAAAATTTCAGAAATAATTTTTTTTTTTTTTTTTTTCAGTTGATTTAAATTAGTTATTTCCGATACATATGCGCAATGGAAGGGATTTTGACGGCTTGAAATGACGTAATAAAGTTTGAGGCTATGGGCGCATTATTATCAAGACCAAGTTATTTATCCGGACGAGCGTATCGAGTCCAAATATAGTACGAGGTCTTGATGATAATGTATCCATAGCTTCAAACGTGTGCCTTCACTTTAAGTTTGTTAGGGTCCCTACCTTTGAGCATAAAGTATCGAACATAATTTTTTGTCATATCAATTGCAGAAGTTGTATTTGAGAGAACAGTCAAGAATGTTTAATTACTGTTTATTCTATTTAAAGGCACAATAATTATGTCACACGAGATTAAATAGCGATAGATTAAACGCAGGTATACGTTGAAGTTGTTTACAAAATTCAACTGTCGCTAAAATTCTTTTTACGATTTTTACTCTACCCAGCGGACATTTGTCAAATTGAAAGATAATTCGACTCAATTATAGCGTATTTTAGCGTAGTCGTGCAGAAATTTAGAGACAGATAGAGAGAGAGAGAGAGAAGTTACTTTTCGATACTAGTGCAAGGTAAATTAACTAAACTATAGATTGCCAGAAATAGTATTCTTTGCGCCTTCTGTGTGTTGCTTGAAAATCCAACTTTCGCGGTTGATATGTCAAAAAAGTAATATCTAATATAAGAAATCATTCTCAGAATCAACGTTTATTTGCTGCATAGTACTTTATTGACGAAAACTAAAACTAAAATTGTATAAATTATATCTAAGGATTTATAGAATATAATTATAATGTAGTTTTCACTTATTTATAACTAAAATATTATCTTGCGAACGAGTAATAAAAACATAATATAATACAATAAAAGCTCAAGCGCATTCAATTTTTAATAGTATATTACCTTTTTGATGATACTGATAGTCTTTTGTGAGTTCGTACCAGATTCAAGAAAAACTCCAAAGTATTTTTTTATTCTAAATTTTCATGCTTAAGAATTAAAATCAAAATACCAGCATATTTTTGTTTGCAGTTTTCTATCTAAGACGCTGTATATATAAGCAAGAAGGAAATTGCACTGTAGATATACACACTCATTCACTTACTTCCTCGCGCATATATCATTATCATAACTTTTGTGATAGATCTCATCGTTTTAATTAGTAGCTTTGAAGTTTAATTATCGTTGATTTTAAAAAAATATATTTGACCGTATAAAATGTTAATAATCTAAATAATAGAGCTAATAAATGAATGAAATTAATAAATATCTCCCGAATCTAATAAATTATTAAACACAGGCTTGTACTCTATAGAACAAAAGCTGTCATGCTGATTATTTTTGATTTTTTTTGTCTTCAGTATGGCTGGAATAATTGTTATAGCTGCAAAACTTATCTTGTTGCCCTTTAAATACCTTCTCAATTAAGTCAATTGTTTGTTGAAGGTCCATGCCGAAGTCAATAAACGTCCATTCGATACCCTCTCGCTGATATTCTTCTTGTTCAAGAATAAACATGTGGTGATTGAAAAATTGTTGCAATTTCTCGTTGGTGAAATTGATACAAAGTTGTTCAAAGCTGTTGAACTGTGAGTGCAGGATTATGAAAAAAAATACAAGATAGTTGTCAATCAACTGTTTATCTTGAAGTGTTACACAATTAAAGTATAAAAATTAATAACATCAACGAAAATGAAGGCAATAGAGGAAATATTGTCTGTAATATTTCTTTTTAAAATCATGTTAAATACAAGATAACATAAATTATAAGTTATCTTCATGGGTAAGTTACCTTAATTCATGTTAGGCTTACAATAAAATTAGATATTCGAGCATAATTTCCGAATCAAAATTTTATTGTTTATTCAAAGATTTATTCCATTTGATAGAAATAGACTATTGCGAAACGGAAAGTAGACAACTAATAATGGTAATTATATGAAACGACAATAATATAATTTTGAATCGGTTTCCTGATTGGTTGTTTAACGGCTACTCCTTTCAGATTCAATTATTTAAAAATAATGCGTTGGACAGTATTGTAACATATCATCAAAGTAACTAATACACATGAACTTTATATGATTGGGTGATGACAGAAAAACATAAACAAAACACTGGACCATCACTTAAGCGAGTATAAATTGCTTAATTATGGCTTTTGATGCTGCTGCTGTTGTTGTTGTTGTAGCTCACACATGGTCAATGAGCTGTCTCATCACGTGTATTATTAGCCAGTTTGTGATTTTTAAAATAATCAGTACCTTTTCAATTAGCTCGATACAGGCAAGAAGGTCCATACCGAAATCAATAAATGCCCATTCAATGCCTTCTCGCGTATATTCTTCTTGTTCAAGAACAAACATATGGTGGTTGAAGAATTGTTGCAGCTTCTCGTTAGTGAAGTTGATACAGAGCTGCTCGAAGCTATTAAACTGTCCGAGCAAATGCCATAAAGTTTAACGTATGGCAATATATTGTCAAAGGAGTCAATTTCCTTTTGATACAATCTAAAGTATATTTTTGAACTAATTCGGAATTTCATTGCCATGCTTACGATAAGTAGTATAATTATAGTTGAAATAATTAGAATTTTCAGAAGTAATACTAATTAATTAAATTTATTAGTCCTTAAATTTATGTGTTTTATTTCATCACATAATTTTCTTAACTACTTTCAGAAATGCGCTAATTGTTGATTTTAATAAGATACAAATTTACTATGATAATTCACTTTGAAACGACGTTCGTAATTTAAATACTTTTATCATGCACTTTATGAAATTGAAATTCCATAGAAAATGAGCGTGGCAAAATATTTATAAAAAAAACTCTTTAAGAATCGTGTTGAATGATTAATAATAATAATAACTAAAAGTTGCAACAATATGTCAATAATTGTTTGAACTTTACTATATTGAAAAAAAGTATAAGGCCTGCTGACTAATTTTACTTGACTTCTGTGGTGTTATAAATTAGTTTCCTAAAAATTCATTCAATGAAAAATGAAGACACATTTTTACATAACATAACTTTGAAGATCTCGTACTTACTTTACAATTATGTGATAAGCCAAAGTCGGAAAATAACATCAAAGATAAATTTAATATTATTGACTGGATCACTTTAAATCAGAATGCTCATAATTAATGTGATCAAATATAACGTTTTAAGTCAATATGGTATCAGATATTGATTCATTAAGTCAAAATTTAAGAAATAAAGAATAAAAGATTAGTAGGAGTGCACTGAGAAAACAAAATCAAAAATTTGAATAGTACCTTTCTTCCAAATAGTTAACACGCATGATCAATTAAACTTTACTTTTACGAAGATTTTGGGATGCTCTCTTACCTAATTCACCGATGAAACCATTTGGAAAAGAAAGAAAAAAACACTATAATGACTTGAAAATGTGTGTAGAACTTTTCCAAGTTATGTGAATAATTATGAGTTTATGAGATATTTAAATATCTCATGAGTAATCAATAATCAATGATTACTTTTTGAGAATCGTGTGATAAAAAACATGCTTATTAATGATAGAAAAATATTTGTATTAAAAATTGGAGGAGTTTACACTCTTGCAAAGGACATATAGCACTTGATGATAAATATTATACAGTTGGGGTTCTTTTAAAATGAAGATTTCAGCTACCTTCTCAATGAGTTCAATACAGGCTAACAAGTCCATTCCAAAATCGATAAACTGCCAAACGATTCCTTCTTTCTTATATTCTTCTTGTTCAAGTACAAACATGTGATGATTAAAGAATTGTTGAAGTTTTTCATTTGTAAAGTTGATGCAGAGTTGTTCAAATCCATTGTACTATGAATACATTTGCAAATGTACACATATTAAAACCAGTTTGAAATTCATAGATCATTAATCGAAATAAAATGCTTAAGAACGGAAAAAATTTATTTGTATAGATTTGTTTTATCTTGAATAAAAAAAAATTTTCTTGGTAATTGAATAGATTTTATGTATGGATGTATATATGTAATCACAACAGCGAATAAAAAACTTATCGATATCAATGAAATAAGTGTAGCAGACCTTTCTTATTGAGGGTGTAATTTTTTTCTACAAGAATATGTGATGAAATTTCCTGTATGCTCTTATATTGGCAAGACACAAATTTTTGAAATGAATATTTTATCTCCATATAAAGTTATCTTGCCGTCTATTCTTAGTTAACCTACATAGTGAAAGTAAACAAGCACTTACTAACTTTAAATTACTTCTTAGAAAATGTTTCATTATTGATTCAGAGTCAGTAAACGATAGAAATCTACTTATGCCACTAAGAAAGCGAAGGGATACCTTTAAAAGTTTGAAAAGAACTTTTTGTGAAAAGTTATTTTTTGACACAATATTGTAAAATGCTTCAAATGAGAAAAAAAATAAGACAACTAACTACAAGACCTGTTAAATGTAGTTAGATTAGTGAAAAAATGTGAGTCAGAGTTCTTCATTTTCATATAAGACAATTGAATTTTATATTGTAACTTGTAGGAACAAATCGAAGTATTTTACGTATTTAAGAACATGGATATCTTTATCTTGATCATTGTCGGCTTCACTAAAATGCAGTTTCAGTTGAGTCAAAAGAAAAAAGTACAATAAAAACACAATGATAAAGCAAAAATAATATTTCCACTGAAAACGAATAATTAAATTTATTTGAAGATAGTTAACTTAATGTAATAGTTTCCGTCCATCTAGAAATTAATTTTTCGTGTGAATTTAATGGGTTCAAATTCAATATTAATAAAAATAATCTTAAAAACATAATATTGTATATAGAGTAATTATAATAATTATTTGAGGACGTGTTTTAATAAGTGAAATAAAAATTAATTGTAAGAAATTTATAAATTTAATATATATTAAAAAAAAATAATTGTAATTTTTTAGATACTTCAAATAGCAATGATGTTACTATTTCGTTGTTTTTTTAATTTTTAACTAATAAGTGGGGCGATGAAAATAAAAACTCAAGTTGGAATGAAACAGAGACCGTTAAATGTTTGTGTGATTCTGTACTTGTGGGATTTTTTAATGATCGAGTATAAAAATTCTAGGTTATTGTTTTTGTAACTTGACTTGAAGAAAGTATTTTGAACCAAGAAAATTGTTTTTAAGAATTTCAATGTTTTAAACCAAGCAAAAAACGTTTTGATTTGAGTAAAATTTACTTAAACAAAGAAAAATTTTTTGGCTCAAGAACTTTTCTGATAGCCCTGAATAAAAAAAAGTATTGAAAAGAATTGGATTGACTAGAAAACCAATTCTTTTCAATACTTTTTCCTTTGTCTCAATACTTTTTTTTAATCAGGGAGATTTCAAACAATCAAATTCTTTGATAAAATCTTCTTGGTCCAAGATTTTTTATCTTGAATCAAGTTAATTTTTTTATCAGTGTATATGATAGTAAAAATAGAGTTTCTTATAAATTCGTAACTTACATCAAAAATTTCAAATCCAGCAATATCCAATACACCAATAAAATGTTGACGTTTTTGTTTAGTGTCCAAAGTTTCGTTACATTTCTTGACTAGCCACTTGAATATTCGATCAAACATGGCTTTAGACATGGCACCAACTGAATAAGCAACTTGATCTTTATTACGACCTTGAGTGACAAATTCATTTCCGACTTTGATTCTCGGCTTCAGTAAATTTTTGTACATATCTTGGCAGTCGACACCAAGCAGTTTTGCTACACGTTCACCTTCCTGAAATTATTTTGCTTATTATGAAACAGATTAAAAAGCAATAAATTTTGTACACTTCTTTTAAATAGTTTGTAGAATTTTTTTATTACTAAAATGATGAATAAAAACAAAGAAAAATAAGAAGGATAATTTTATATTTGTTTGAGAACTACTTGTTTGAATTTTATATTTTTCATTTGGATTATTCTTATAAAAATATAAAATATTATTTATAAACATTTAAAAATTTATCAGATTTATAAAAAATTATTTTTATTGATAACATACCTCTGTACCATCAGCTTCAGCTTGCTCTTCACGTCCTCGCTGTTTAAATTTCATTCCACCCATATGCATGACAGAAGCCGTAATTTTGTAGATATCATCTTTTTCTTGTTGAGTAAATCCAAGTACGTCAAACGCTTGCTATATAATTAAATTATGATTTAGCAATTGAAAAGTTTAACACAGTTGACTTAGATTAAAAAAAAAATTTACGCATATAAAAGTAAATCAATTTTTCCAAAGCTATTGCAACACATAGAGACGAATCTCTATGTGTGATTACGTTTTCAAAGCAGCATTTTACATTATAGGCAAAGCTAAGTTTCAGCTATTGTTAAGGCCGCTTCTTCCCTTTAATTAACTTATAAATGTTTACCTCTATTGAGACTTATAAATTTGTATGATAACCATACCATACCGATCACGAGCCTTCATTGAAATTAATCTATACGACAGCGTATATTGTTTCCTGATGGATGTAATTTGTAAAAATCTTACATAATAGCAGTTATAAATTGAACCATAATATGATGGATCATCGTTTGTGATGTTCTCGTAGCAGTCGTTAATAATCGTTCGTGATGTTCTTGTACCAGTCGTTGTTATTGGTTTGCGATATTCTTATAGCAGTTGATATATTTTAATTTATTATATTTTAGTCTTATACCTTAAAGTATAGTATTATTTATGATTAATTATAAATACTGAGATTGCTGACATGATATTTTTTTTTGTTCCTGTTAATCAGTAATTTTGATAATATAAGATTTTACAAAAGTACTATCAACCGTTTTTACTGAAAATATTTTTCTTAAATTTATGGACATAAAAAAATTTTTTTTTTGAATTTTTTTTTCTTCTTCAAATGTCGATAGAACTATTTCTTCCTACGACACACTATTTCAAGAACTACTTAGATATTTTGAAGTTTGAATGTTTCCTTAATTTTTTTGCCAGAAAATATAAATCATTACTGGATGTTATATATCATTAATATAAATCATTACTGGAGAGTCATGATATACTATCATTACTATTATTTCTAAGTATACACCAGTTTTTACATGATACCCATAAGAAACTTTACATTAATGTTTTGCATTTACTGAATTTAATTAATACTAAAATTTAAATCTCGTTTATACAAATTCTATAATTATCATATCGATATGAGTATAGACCCATTAAATGTATAGTATTTTGCACTCTTAGTTTAAAAAAAATTCTTTATAAGATTAAAATTAACATATTAAATTACAAAAGGCTAACGACTCTATTTTTGTTAATTCTTAAAATATTTATAATAAAAAATAAATGCACTCGTATAATCGAAAATATTAAAAAATTAAAATGATATAAGACTGTAATATTTTCTTTTCTTAAAGTTAAATGAAGAAGTGAGTACTTCACGTAGATAATAATTAAAAATTTTTCATAATATTACATGTCTTCTGCTTTGTTTTTCATCGAGTTTTATCCACGGTATGATGATTATTTTCTTCCAAAAAAACTTAATGAGACTGAATGAAACTCAAGACTTGCGTACGCGAAATTATTAATAACCGTAAAAATGAAAGGAATGTCAATATTCTTTTAATACTAATAAAGATGAATTAACTTCAAGGGGACTTACATCCGTGAGTACACATTCTTCACCATCATCTACGTTGGGAATTGTAATTTTTCCTTGTGATACGTTGTAATAGTCGTATATGTTATTTGACAAGAAACACATTTCTGGAAATCATGATTAAAAAAAAAATTTTAAGACATCTCTTTCGGTCTGTTTCTGCATCTATATATATATATATATATATATATATAATAGCTATTTTTTCATTTTTGGGCTCCAGGAACAGCTAATTTGTCATTTAACGATAAATTTGGGAAAAGGGACGAAAGAAAGGGTATAGGGAAAGGGGAAACCACTCAGTGATAACTTTTTAGTAACCGAAAAAATACTTCGGACAGCCCGGACCAGGAATCAAACTCAGATCTTTTGGTTACGCACCAAAAGCTCTCTCAGTTAAGCCATCCGAGACCTTGTCCATAAATACCTTCCAGTCACCTAATATACATATAGTAATTGACAGTTTAATTATCACTAACTAGATGCCGTAAAACTATTAATTATCATTGGAAAATAGATGTTTATTGTAAAACAAAACTTTCATCTGAAAATTAATTCTATCTTTAATCTTAATTATATTATGACTAACAATAGTTTCCTTTGAAAAAGTCCCAGCTTGAATATTTTTTCTACTGAGTAGTAAAATTAGTAAGTTAAATAATGGTAAATTTAACTATCCTAGTAGTGGGATAATAATATTATACTCGGTATGTTGACTAACATTTAGAAAACATCATGTCTTTGATCATTTTCATAACTAGCGGCATAAAGCTTGTGAGCAGCGAGGAAAATAGGATATCAGTATTTTGCTAAACGCTAAACAATATCCTTTTGGGTGATCGATTAAAAACAGTAATTATTTTTGAATCAATTAAACTACAAAAGAATATGGCTAATGTGTATAGCATTAGTTATATGACCGGGCAACTTACATCAGTTTCCTCCATGTCTGATGCATCGTTGACTCCTGGAATTCTTGTCTTACCCTGGTTAATGTAGCAGTAATCACCAATCCGGTTGGATAACAGGCACATTTCTGCATTTGTTTCTTTTTGTATGATTATCACGCATTGATATTACCAACATTAATTGATAATTTCTTATGGGAAGAAAACGACACTTAAAAATTAAGGATTATAGCTGCAAATTGACTTATCATACAGCTTGGTTAATCTTCACAATAAGCAGATTTAGTAATTAGCAAATGTTTTAGTGGCAAAATTATGGGCATCTATGGACATACACTAAGCCAAAATATTTAAAACTAAAGAAAAAAAAAACTGAATTTCATGGTAATTTTTGGAGGTCTCGCTTGGAAAAATCAGTGGTAGATATAAGAGGAAATGAAAATTCTTCATTTTTAAAATTAAAACAACAAATTTAAAATTTCGGTTGTCTTAAAAGTAGATGTTTAACAATTTTTTTTTTTTTGATACTTTTATTGTTTGGTTTTTTTAGGTAACTTATTTTGGCTGGTCTACGGGTCTAGTACAATGATATTTGGAGTTACCATTGTTTAAAGCAAAATGGTCATTTTTACTGCAGTCATTTATTACTTGGAAAATAATGAAAATTAGAAAAAAAAAATTTTTTTTAGCAGTAAAATTGTTGAATAAAGAAAAAAATGAAAATTGATTACTAAACGGTATTTGGAAAACTTGTTATAAACTTTCAGCTATTAAAAAACTTATGATGTTGACAGTAACTCTTTTTAAAACGTCAAAGCATCTCAAAGATGAACCCTAAAGATTTTAGAGCACTGAGATTTCTTTCTGAGTAATGAAACCTGTCGTCATTAAAATCTATGTAGGAGTGTATTTTTTGTTTGCTTTTCAAGTTGAAAATATTGTAAATAATGATAACTGATATTTCTTTTTTTATGAAAACTTGAGAAAATAATGGGGCTAAATAATAACGTTAATAAGGGCATATCGGTTTTTACTGAGATTTAAGCATGTTTATAAACAGCTCTTGTTTTCAAAGATAAATATATTTTTTCTTAAATTTGACTCTATAAATATAAATATATTGCAAATTATGTAAGAATTAAGTATTGCTAGAGTGATCGATTTGAAGCTTGAGAAAAACAAAGAACAAAAATTTCAAATTATAAATGTATGTATCATTTGGTTAACTTTCTAAAAAGTTATTTTTTTAATATGTTAAAACCAAAAATATTTTTTTCTTACTTTGTAAACTTTTTTTATTTATGCTGAAAGATTTGTAGAATTTAATGCAATTACTATTAGAAATTTTGTTTTGTTTATCAGTAAGTCGAAATCGTTAGAATCATCCAAAAAACTTTCGTTTTCACTTCGGACATGCACTTACGTCGGTAGCAAGCAGTTCTTCCCCATCGTCGAGGCCGGGAATAGTCGTCTTGCCTTGAGACACGAAATAATAGTCCCGAATATTGTTGGATAACAGCAACATGTCTGAACGGACAGTAAAAAACATGCAAATAACAGCACTCTATTGTATATTAGCAATACTACTACAGATTTTAGTTAACGGTATAGTTCTATTGAATTTACGTTTATCATAAGGAATAAAAGAACTTTAAATTTCAAAAATATTATTTTTTCAATTGAATCAAATATTCTTCCTTGACGTAAAAAATATATGTATTCAACAAAAAAATAATACATCCACAAATACTTTTTTTCGCGAAGCACTTACAGATCAAAATGTAATACTTTTTCACTTTTTTTGAATTAACGAATCTATTCATACAAAGTATTTTATGTTGAGGGGTTCTAATAGCCATTAAAAACAATTTTTTACAGTACTAATATTCTCAGTAGTGTAGTAAAAAAACAGCATGCATAGATCATTCCAAAAACTAGGAATGCCCTGATAAAAAAAAAGTATTGAGACAAAGAAAAAAGTATTGAAAAGTATTGGTTTTCTAGTCAATCTAATACTTTCCAATACTTTTTTCTTTGTCTCAATACTTTTTTTTTTTTATTCAGGGTGACGTTTATAATGATTGAGGAATCAAAGTTTATTAAGTATAATGGAATCACTAGAAACTATTTTTAACTCAATGCAAAACTAAATATGCATTGTCAAATCAACCAAAAATCATACTTCGTTATATTTCCTGTCAAAAAGGTGATTACAGTCAAAAGTCATCAACAACTTAAACAAATTAAAGGCGAATTTATTTTATAAAATCAGGTCAACTTTTCAGCGTCTATTGTACGTCGGTTCTTACGTCAGTGAGTTGACACTCCTCGCCATCATCAACACCAGGAATGGTCGTTTTGCCCTGAGATACGAAGTAGTAGTCAGTGATGTTATCCGAGAGACAGCACATTTCTATGAAACGAGTTTTTTTTTTAAGTATAACTTCACGTTTGTCTTATGGTTTTCAATTACTAATTGACTGCTGCCTTAGAATGAATTATTTTTGTCGGTTTAACAGATATTAAATAAACAGTTTCTACTCTTACCAAAGTCGTGGTTATATTGTTTATTTTTTTATATAGTTGGACAACCACCAACACACATTGGAAATCTTGACTAAAATTTTTAATAAAAAAAAACTTTGAAAATTCATAAAAGCATTACCTTTCAGTCCCTTAACAGATCCTGACATCATCTGGTAGAAAATATGGTAAGATCGCTCTAATGTTTGTTGAGAAATTACTCGAGCTTTTTCAAGTAAATCTATTACAAACAAAAAATAAATTTTAACGAATGAGCAGCTACTAAATGAGTTACAAATCAAATGCAAATATTAAAGAATGCAAAAAATATTTTTAAATTTTTGATTTTTCTTAAAGCTGTGTATCTATGTAAAAATGATAGCATGGAAATAAAATGAAGTATTTTTAAGCCTCAAATATCAAGTATCATAAGCTTTTAGCGTTACTTTTTATATGCAATGATTGCCGCCTCATAATACATAAAAGATTATTTTTCAACTTCGCGTAATGAAAATCATTAATTTTCGAAAATTGAGGTTATTTCAATTTGCCAAACTAGCTTCAAAGTGAAAGTTCTTTTTCATTAAGACTTGGCTGTATTTCAATTAAAAAAAAAAAAAATTTACGGCGATATGAAAATGAAATTGAAGCTCAGTCAATAATCTGAATAACTTTTAGATGGATTTAAAATGAAAAAAAATATCTATCTATGTGGACCTTTTGAATAAAAATGAAAATGAAAATAATCATGTTTTCTGCTACTTCTCATTATTACATGATAACTATGAAAATTGTCCACTAAAAGATGATGATATATTAACAACTTGAGACTCATAAATATTTATTTTTCCTGAGAGAATTTATTTTTAAAAAATATCAAAAAATAAAAAAAAATGTATATTTATATTATTTTGTGTATTAGTGTATATTTTACTTACATGTTTCTATATCAGCACCAGCTAGTTTTCCAGAGGGACCAAAGTGAATTCGGATAAATTTACCCTTGAAGAAAGAAAGTAAAACGAAATTTCGTTACGATGTTTCAAAAACCACAGATTGTTCAGAGAAAATTTTTCTATAAATTTTATATTTTTTTAAGGTACACTGTAAAAATTTTCTATTAAATTTTACTATATGGTGCATTGCATTCTTGGACTATAACGAGACTGATAACAAATTTTATCAATTGTAGCTTACTTTATGACTAATGCGCATACGTTTACTATGGGACATTTTAAAATTTAATTTGTACAATTGATAAAATTTGTTATCACCCGAGTAAAAAAGATTTTATATAATTAAATACGATTATATATAATTGTATGTCGTCTATATATAATTGGATATAATTTATATATAATTCTATATAATTATATCCAATTATATGAAATTATTCAAAATCATGAAGGAGGATTAAATAAAATTATATATAATTAGATACAATTGCATAGAATTGTATCTAATTAGACACAATTGCATAAAATTATATAAAATTTTATGTGATTCGCCTTCAAAACTTTATACAATTTTATACAATTATATATAATTAGATTCAATTGTATAGAATTGTATCTAATTAGACACAATTGCATAAAATTTTATGTGATTTGCCTTCACAACTTTATAAAATTTTATGAAATTGTATAAAATTATATATAATGAAATACATTTATATAGAATTTGACGGAATTCTCCTTTGCAATTATAGATAACTTTATATAATCAGATACAATTATATATAATTGTATACAACTTTGTATAATTGTATAGAATTCATGGTCTTGAAAGAGATTTCTGCAATTTTATGTATAGTATTTTGCGGATGAAATAATAGGAACTTTATTAGCTTATAAAAAAATTAAATTTCACAAAAATTAATAGTTTCGTCAAATTTAAAAATTGTTACCCCAGACCCTCCAGCAATATATAGTTCCATATACTAAACAAGTAATTCCATCAAAATTTGAGCTTTTAATTCTGATTCTACCTCTATTATTTTTTTAATGAGTGCGTCTCTGAGTCGGA